GTTTGGTCACTAGATGGCGCTGAGGCCTCACGTATATGAGCCGTGGGCCGACAGCCAGGTGTTGACTCCTCCGCCGCAGTTTTTGACCGCTGCGGCGGAGTCTTTGTTTATATCCTCCCGACTACCAGTAGTTCATTTTTGTCCTCTGTAGAGGACATTTCTAAACTTGAACATCTCCCACCCCCTTGCATTCTACTGAATTAATTCATTTTGGTATCTGGAGAGGACATTTAGGGCTTTTCAATGATACATGTGAAGGGGTGGGACTTTTGTACGTACCTTTTTCTAATTCATAAAAATGGCGTTCATCAGTAATTTTATGGGAAGAGACAAAGTAAGTGCATAAAACATTTTATTACCTTACAAAGACTGTGGGATTTAAAAAAAAACTGGTGATTGGACTATTTTTTTCCAGGTAGTCAGGATATTTTAATTCATCTCGGAGTTACTGGGTTTGTGCACAAATTGTCTCGTCTGAATTGAGTACAATCTAAAATTGCAGCTGCTCAGCACGTCATAGAAAAGGTCAACAGTATACACAAATGTCAGAAATAAAGCAGGGAGGCAGTCAACATAACGGCATGCTTTATTGATATACAGTAAAGCATTTTATAGTACAGTAGTAAGGCATACATTTGATGGACTGATATGTTGTGAAGTACCGACGGGTTATTTGAAAAAATTAGGTGAAAATGACATTCTTTGAAATAGAAAATTAAAGAAATCAACCTGGATCAAAATTTCAAACTCACTGGGTCATGCTGCAGGAATCTGATGAAACAACTGATTATTTATTACAAATTAAGATTTTTTTTCTCTCTTAGTCACACGTTAATATCAGAGCTCCTCACACAGAACGAAACCAACCTGCTTTGAACCAAAGACAAAACGTAACACGAAAAACCAGATTAGGCTCGACAGAACATTCAGCGTCCACCAGTGCTCAATTAGAAATATCTTTTTGATTTTTACTAATCTTGGAGTGTGGAACTGATTAGAGGTCAAACTAACATCCAAACTTCACATGAGGTTGTTGAGTTAATAACAGGTAGTGGAAATCAAACAGTTTAAATGTTCCTGTGCCGCATGGACCAAGGCATTGACTGTTAAAGTTTCTCTACTGAGGAAGACTTTTCTTTCTCTGTGCGAAACGGGAGCAGATTCATTCTTCTGCTTTAGTTGATAGAAAAAATACATCTGATCAAAACTTGGTTTGCACTTGAACACTTTGGCCTTTGGAGATTGAATGGTTTGAGTCAACATGTTAAAAAGCAAGTCAGAAATCTGACCTTTTAGGGAAATGACAAATTTGTAGTTGCAACAAGACAGATGTTAGATTTGTGAAAGCCAAGTGATCAGCTGCAAATTAACGTGTCAAATTGGTCTACCAAGTAAAAAGTAAAAAAAAAAACTTTGTTCAGACAAGGGGAACAAACTCAACAGCGCCCCCTAGTAACTTTCTGAAAACTCTTCTTGATGCAACGATGGTGTGCGAGGCCTTTTTCTTTTCTTTTTTTAACTTTTCTTTACTGTTATTAGGATCATCAGAGCTTGTATTGGGTATTAATATCCATCCAGTTTTTAAAAAGTAGCATCCCTCCACTCCAGGAAAAAAAAAAAAAAAAAAACTTAGGAAATTTTAGGCACCACACTCACTCACTCACACACACACACACACACAGAGAACTGCCTCTTAGAAAACACCCTCATTGTTACAATCGTTTGAAACTAGTGAGAAATGCTTCAGCTCGTTTCCCCAGTTAGAAAGAGATAGCAAATATACGAGGACACTGAAGACACCGTCTCTGTTTCTCAACCCCGCTTCTCGTTTTATACAATTGCATAGAAGTTTAAAAACCAGCTTCTTTTGACAATAAAACAGGATGTTTTAAGAAACTACTCAAATCTTAGTGTTTTTTTTTTTGTACTTGTTGCTTTAACTGCAATCCTTCACAAAAATAGACATTATATTCTCTGTGTAAACAGTTTCCAATCCAGTTGTTTCGACTAGAAAAGCATGCGGTATGATAGGGGGATCAAAAAGGACGCGGCAGTTCCACGCTGCGCTCCGCGGTCATGGCGCTGACCAGCGACTCCATGGCGCGGCCCAGATCGTCCGCCATGTGGAACAGGCTGCCGATGCTGGGACCTGCAGGGAGAGGATCAGGATCACTAAAAATAAAAGGTAAGTGACTTTGTCCTCTAGAATCCCAATTCTTTAACCTCTTAACTGTCACCCTCACAATGCTGGTTTATAGGTCGATGTCATCGTGCCAGTTAAGGGGTTAAACTCAGGGATAAATCCCATCACAAAGAAGAAAAATGTTTTCATATGCTAACATAATAGACAAAATATGTTGGCATATGAAAATGTATTTCTTGGAATGTTTCATTATTTTTGTCTTTAAACTTTAAGAACTTTGTGGGGTTTTTTACAGTCAGTTTGTTAGTTCAGTAGCTGCATATTGACCAGAGGTCAGCAACTTTCACACTTTATAGACCCAATGTATTTTCCTGGCACATTTTACAGCATAGTCAACTATTAGAGACCCAATTTCCAAAATATGTAATTTTGGAAGCTGAAGGTTGCTGACCTCTGACCCTTGATGTGGAACCATCCATGCATGACCGCTTGAACTTTCCAGATCTTGTCACAATAAAAAAGCAGAAAATAGAAAAAGCAAAACTTGGTTTTAAAATGTTCTTAGTGTGGACTGAAAAGTGTGGCATGCATTTTGTCTTCAGGCAAAATTGATAGTGGAAAGCAAAAACACTGGTGTTATTGTATCCTTAATGCGATAAAACTGTTTCTTCATTTGTGAAATGTGAAAAATTTTCTTTCAATTTAGTAGCTCTCGCTTTTGTCTGAGATTTTAATGTATTTTAATCATTGACAATATGCTTTAGCCATGCATAGAAGACTAAGAAATCTTCTATAAGCTGATTGAAAAGGCTGTTTGCTGTTCTTGTGTTTACTGGAGTATGGCACCGTGTTTAGCGCCTCTTACAGGGGAGGAGGAGTAAAAGCGGCATTTTGGGCCGTTCTGTTTGATGTTTGCAGTGGACAAAGCTAAAGCATGTTGCAAAATCAGTGCCAAAACTTGATTATTTTTATTTAAGGATGCACTGCATGACACACTTTTCAGATTTTTTTAATTTTTAAAACTATATAGCATTTTAAGTGAACAATAATTAGAAAGTTTAAGCATCATCAGGTAAATTGTGGTGAAGTTCAAGAGGCAAATACAACAATAGAACAATCATTTGATCTATTGTTGTATGACAGACGACTACATTTCTGCCTAAAAACTTAGATATTCTGTGCTGTCAAAAAGTTGTACATTTGTGAGAAGTGACATGATATCTTTTCTAGGAGTTTTCTTTCCTCTCATCAGATCGACAAATCACCATGAAGAAGCAGCTCCAACATGGCAGATGTCACAGAAAACTTGAGTTTTGCTTTCTTTCTTATAGATGCAAGACTTGACAATGTCAGAGAATATTTTAGTTTTGATTTCATCTTTGCAAATGTACAAATTTTCAACGGAATATCAAAGTGTTTTCTTGCAGATAAGAGGAATTAGTCTGGATGTTTACTCTGGTAGACAGAACTGATCCAACAAAACCTCCAGTTAAACCCCTTTGATGGTGAAACTCTGCCTCCTACTGACAGAAAATAGTAACTGCAGTCTACTTTCAGCTGTTTTATAGTAACGGTCAATTAGCAAAATAAATCCCATGTCCTCAGGAAGAATATTTAACAATAAATATTTTCTTCAAACTTACAAATAAAATCAGAGCAAACGACATGCTACCAGTTTGGTTATTTCATGGTGCAAACAAGTTCTACAGACGAAGAGGTGGGGAGAGGGAACACTGAGCGACTGACCTCTCATGGATGTCCCCTTCTCCCGCCTGGCTCAACGAGAAATAGGAAGAAAAGACATGAAGAAAGAGGGAAAAGTCATCCTTCTGTTTGGATGTCGAAGGAGTTACACTGAAATTAATGTTTCCAAACTAAGTTTTGAAGGAACGAGAGCACAAAGAAGAATGAGACGTAACAAAGAGGAAATAAAGTTTGAAATATTTTCAGACCTGAAACTAAACCTCACAACTGAGATTAGAAAAACGGACACATATTAAGATGTTCCAGTCGACATTGAACATTTGTATACAGGAAGTGAAGTCTGTTGTACCCTGGCTGTGAGGGAAAGTGTTGTTGAGCTGCTCCACGACTTCCTCCAGGCCAGATGCATCTTGGGAAGGACTGGAAAACTCATCATCGCCTAAAAACCGACAAATCGTTTGATGGTTTATAAACATCAATGGAGGTAACCGACCGTTTCCTGCTCCACTGGCTGCAGGGTGAAGGCTCTTTACCCATTGTGTCAGTAGTCTGGCTGGCTGCCACACGCAGCAGCGGCAGGGACGAGTCGGAGCGCTGGGAGGAGGTGGAGGGGGAGGAGAGGGCCGTGCCGTTCACCTTGGAATCCGTCTGATAAACACGCGCGCACACACACACACACACACACACACACACACACACACACACACACACACACACACACACACACACGAGTGAGTCGTCGACTGCCACCATTGCTGAACCAGAGATAACTGACCATGACTGGCCAGATGTCTGATGCCTCAGTTCATTGCATAGAAATACTGAAGTTCACATTAATGATCATGTTAATTATCATATTCTATTTGAGTCCTCAAACTTTTTGTCACCGATCATGTTGACAGACATTTTAAAACATCAACACTTCTGACTATTTTTCACATTATTCAAACTAAATGAAACTAAAATAATGTTTTTCTTGCATCAAATGTTGAGATTTCCAGGTTTAAATTTGGAATATTTGACTTTCCAAACTTGGGCTTGACGGTCAACATAGTTTGGATGTCTACGGAGTTTCACTGAACTTGGGCTAAATTTAGTGTTTCTGAGCATTTTTTTGTTTACAAAGACTAAAAAAATTTTTTTGGAATGTAGCCATTTTGGACATCAAGCTCGAGATGGAATGTTAAACCTTAAAAAAAATATGTATTTTTGTTTCATTCACATGTACTGATGTTTTAAAATGTCTGTCAACATGACCAGTGACAAAACGTTTGAGGATATTATCATATCCTCAAACAGGATATGATAATTGACATGATTCAAAATGGCTACCTTCCATAAGTAGCAATTTTGGCTATAGGACAAATTGTCAACAAAGTTTGATACCAACAAAGAAAAAGCAGTCCCACTACTGAGGTACTGTTACCTCAGTAAAAGGCATTTAAATGTGTTAATTGCTTATGGAGTTCCTCAAGGCATCCTTCTCGGGACTTTTTCATTATGGTCTAATTTATCTAATTATTTACATCTAATATGGAAAAACTGCTGATGGTTTTACAACCAAGTTGCTTATTTAGCAAATCAAAAGCAGAACCAGTTCTAAACGTGGTGGCCATATTCAATTTGTCTTGATGAGTCAGCTCTTTTCTCTGGTCCAGCTCACAGTGTTTGGTGCAGTTAAAGAGACGGGATGATCACCTGCTCCAGAAGCTGCCTCAGCCTGTGCAGCTGGGACTCCAGCTGTTTGTTGTGGTCCTCCAGTATCTGCATGCGGGCCTCCAGGCGGCCTTTGTGCTGCCGCAGCAGCTTGGCCTCGGCGATGAGCTCGGCGTCTCGAGCGCTCTGCGGCGACACCGGCAGCATCTCGGGCGGCGAAGGCAGCGGAGACAGACCCTTCCTGTCGTGGGCTTTTTTCAGACGGTCGTACTCGGCCTGCAGCTTCCTGTAAGGAGAACCGCAGAGTTTTCAGTGAGAGCTCCCGGAAGCGTATTTTAGTTACAATCAGGGACAGTTTTTTTTTTAAATTCATGCGGGGGGGGGGCGGGGAAGGCTACTGGATTTTACGTACTTTAGGCTTTATTTTAACTGTTGGGGTTGCAAAGTTACTTTGTGGTTCTGAAAACATTTTGTTTAGGATGTGGAAGTGAGTTTTGCTCCCACTTAAATTTTTCCTTATTCCAAGGCCAACCCAATCACAGAAACATCTAACCTGAGACATGATTTTCATTCTTTTTTGATTTGGAATTAAAAAAAAGGCCCGTTAGATAAAGAAATTTTTTACATTTTGTTCATTTTTCTAACTTGTGATTTTAAGTGTTTGTTATATCTGGAGGCGAATACATCGGATTTTATTTAGTGATTTCAGAATAAAAATTCACACCACACTTCAAAAGTAATTACAGAAGGGGGATTAAAAAATTTATTAAATTCTTGCTTTAATCTAAAAAAAATTTTTTTTCTCAGAATTCTTTACTATTTGGACATGGAAATTCTAAAAAGTAACAAAAAATAAATAAATTAGTGACCGTGATATTTATGACTATCAATTTTTCCATAAATCATAAAAGGTTTTTGAAACCTCCTTCCATGATGTGCTACATTGTGTTCCAAATCAAATGACCGTTAAACATCGCTTTCCTCCTCTGACCTGTTCTCCTGCTCCAGGTCACCCAGGACCCTCTCCAGCTCTCCCTTCTCCTCTGTTTCCATGGAGATGAGGATCTGGGCGGGGCTGCGGGGCTGACTGAGAGGAGAGCCTTGGTTCAGAGACTGGCAGTAGTGCTGGATCAACATGTGCTCGTCATCGCTGCAGATACACACACACACACACATCAAACATACCCACCAATGATTGACACACACATTCATAAGGTCACAGACACCGTGGCATGGACGTGCATGTGTGAACAAACACACACGCACGCGCGCACACACAGGAAAAAATGGAGAAAAAGAAAAGCAGAAGGTGAATGAAGGAGCAGCAGAACGGGACTGGAACACAGATGGAGAATCTGAAGTCAGAGAGAGGAACAGAAAAATGTTTGGCTGAAAATATTAACATTGTTTTTGTTCATTATCAATAAATGATCAGCCTCTGAGCTGCTTTATCTTTGACTTGATTTCTGTCCAGCCTAAAATCTATTCATGAAGAGTTCTCTGACTCTCAAACTGGATCATTCATCATTAAGATTTGTAAATGTAACCAAATGTTGGCACAGAAGAAGAATAAAATAAGAACGATAAGGAACAAAAACAGGATCTGTTCTGCTGGCCTACAGGTTGGGAAAAACTTCTGCCATCATCTGAAAGTCTGTCCTGTTTGCCTTCATTTTGTACACAAAAAAATAAAACTATGCATCACTTCTCACAACACTAAGAGACAAAAAGATTTGTTCTAACCTGATTCAAAAACATTCCATCCTAAATGGAAAGCTCTGATCATCTTTACATGACTCAGATCTTGCGTAACTTCTGGGGTTCCTCAAGGCGCCGTTCTCAGGACACTTTCATTAAATAGCTCAGTGATACAACATCACTTATAAAATGTATACTGATGATACATTTTTCTCGTCATAACCGCAACAAAAATGAGTTTTTGAAGCCAAAAACTCAGAACTTTGACTTGGTGAGGCTACAGAGCTGGCTCAGGCCAAAACGTCACCATCAGGACAGCCAACCACTGACCTGGAAATGTTGCCTGAATTGTTTTGTTGTCCTATCAGAACAACAAAACAAAACAAGAAAATAAGGATAATTCTTCATGTTTTTGCTTCTTAAACAATCTAGAAGACATGTTTACTCTGTGGACTGGCTCTGGTCAGTTGATAAAGTCATACTCGCATTCAGTGATTGGACTTCCTCTACTTGTTCTCTGATAAAGTCGAGTAAGGAAGACAGAGCAACAGGAGTGCTAATACCAAGTCTCAGAAAGAACAATCAAACAAATACGCTCGTTTTACTCCTACTAACTTATTAAGTTTATGATAAGTGAGTTTTAATAGTTGAGTTTATAATGGGCAGCATCAACTGTCCTCTCTCTGAACCTCACTATAGATTCTTTGACTAGATGAAACTCAAGACTTTGTAGATAAAACTACAAAAACAATTGTTTTTTTTTTTTGAAGGGAAGTAAGAGAAAGTTATTTAAAACATGGTCATGTCATGAGTTTAAATATGTATTCTTAAGTACATTTCTGGGGTTTTGTTAATTAATCCAACAGAATATTGAAGGAGGACAATAAAACTGAAGAACAGATAGTCAAGGGGGGAATTGAAAAAGAAAAAAAAAAGAAGTCAAAGATTTGACCTTAAATCCAGAATACACATTTACAGACGAGTAACACAGGCAGCCAGTGGAAACAAGGAGGACAGAAGCAGCCGACACGCAGAAAGCCAGTCAGTGAGTTAGGAGGACGGGGTAGAACAAAACAAAACAAAAAAAACAAGAAGCTGTTCTCACATGCTCTCATTGGGTGAGATACTGTCATTCAGATAAGAGCCATTACGGTTCTCCATTTCAGCTAACCTGCGGAGGGGGAAGAAACAGAGCAGTCAGTCTTTAAACCAAAGAGACCGGAGACCGACAGCTGGCTGTCAGCTTCAGGGGCTTCCATCAGTTCCAGAACAATTCAAGTTCTGGTTGGATCATTCAGTGAGATCCGACCACTGACTGCTTCTTCTTCTTCTTCTTTTTTCCCCATTTAGTGAACCACTTGAGTCTTGTTTTATCTTTGACATAATATACAACAACTGCTCTGGATCTTTATAAGTTTACAAGTCAAACATTTTATTGGAATTATTTTGGGGATTTTTTTAAATTTGGAAATAGAACTGTATAATACTAGTCAGTGCTGAGCCACACTGGAAGCTTTAAGCTTAGCTTCCAGGCTGCTAGCATATGTTGTAAAGACGGCTAGCGTGTCCCAGTGTACCAGAAGTTCTGAGGGCTTTTGTACACCAACAATACTCTTGTTCAAAGACTTCCTGTTCCAGTGTCAGTCATGTCTTCTTCGGTGTATTCCAAAGAAGCCCAGCAGGGTTTTTTTGAGTCGACAAACTGTGTTGCTCTTTGCCAATTTTGTTGCAAAGAGTCACAAAATTTAGTCTCATCTGACCAGAACATGTTAGCTTACAATTGGTGTCTAGTGTCTTTCTTCTTGCCACTCCTCCAGAAAAGGACAGATCTGAAGTTATGTTGGAAACCATTTATCATCTTCCTTCCAATTTCCAATTCTGTATCACATGGTGTGGAAGGTCCTGCTCTCTCCCATTTAGGAATGGGAATCAAACATTTATGCTGAGCCCTTAGTGTTGGGCCCCATCACAGTCATTGCTCAACCTCCTCAAAACTAGATTTTGAACAAAGAAACAACAACATTGAGGCCATTTTTCCAAACTTTGTCAGTATTCTTAGAGTGTGCGGTTATGCAAACAACAAATAAATCATCATATCAGCCAATAAAAACAGAAGTTGGCGGAGTTACTTAGCGGACACAACTCCCAAAAACACAACCCCCCTTGACCTGCTCCTGCTGCCCCCTTCAACGCATGTTCTCAACCCCTCGTGTCCAGATGCAACACAACAAGTAGGGAAAACTCAAAATATGACATAGATTACTAAAAATAATTAGCAATTGTTGGCCGTTAGCTGGGACACTTCCAGGGTTGAGGACAGCAGCATGGAATGTGAGTGGAATAAAAACAGAAGTAGGGGGTGGTAAAGACTGCTGCACCACGTCATGTTAGCAACACCTAATGCCAGGAAAGCAAGGATACAGAGTGTGTGTGTGTTACCGGTTGGCGTAGTGCTCGATCCGAGAATGTGTGTCGTCATGAGAGAGTTGAGGAGACGATCCAGGCCTGAAAGAGAGAGAGGACAATGAGACGGCATGAGTCAAACAGGAAAGGACAGTCGCAGCTGGAAATCCCAGACATCAGATAAAGTGGTTTATCCTGCTTTACGTTGATGATACTGTGATTTATTCAAAAGTTTGAATATTCTTGAATAGTTGCAGTGATTTGCCATGTGACTAATATAGACTGATTACACACAGCATTGTACTTATTTTCTTATTTAAAATAGAAAATTGACTCAAGTGAAAACCTGTAATCCAGTTTTCAGAAAGTTTTAAACATCAGACATAAACATCCATCTGCTTAGATGGCAGAGGTTGCGCTAGACCTTTTTGTTGCCCGTCATTTTTTACTGATGTCTATAAAAAAAAAGGAAGTTATTTTAACCCTTAATTTTTAAAACTCTTTGCAACCAGCTTTAAGGATAAATCTTTGTGGCTCCTGCTCACAGACTTCTGGTCTGATTGCTGTGTTAATTTATGTCTTATGAGACTTTCTTTTTCAACATGAATTACTGCACAAGAAAAATCTACTTGCTTGGTGCCATGTTCTTTTTTTGGTTTGATAAAAAACAGAGGTTTATATAAGCATCAGAAGAACAAAACAAGCTGCAGACTGAGACTGTGTGTCAGATACTCACGCATGGTCTACAGGCCAGAAGTTGATCAGGGTGACAGGACTGGAAGAGAAACAGCATACCATCATTACAAATGGATCTTTCTACTAATATTCTGCAAGCTCCAAAGTTCAGAGATGCACCTTTAGCTGAGTTTCATTGAGTAAAAGGAAGTTAAACATCCACACAAAAGCTAAACATAAGGAAGGTGTGATAATGTGTTTGTTTAGCATGGTAGAAGAAAATAGTCCAGTTACACATTAATCCAGCTCCAGATTCCATTGCACACATATGCTATAGTGGAAGATTCAGCTTCAGAGGGTTTTTATACAAGTTATATATTTCAAATATAGAAAACATGCAGCCGATGTTCTTGGTATATTTTAGAGACCTTCAGCCTTCATTTGGTTCTGCTGACACAAATTCAGCAAATTAAATTTTAGATGCATTTATTTTGGACTCCAACATGCTAATGCTACATTTATTAAATGATGCTAAATCTTTGTTTTCATTCAGGTAAACTGGGAGCGATGTGGAAATGATTTCAGGGTCTCATGTCCCGTTTGGTCGTTTTGGCTGTTTTCCACAGGGTCCACAAATCCGCTTTAAACGATTCTTACGTACTTCTTTATGCTGATGACACAACCTTCCACATCTAAATAATTCAAACTTAAGAGTTTTTTTTTTGTCTGATATAATAAAATTTACAAAAGTGATTGCCAGAAGATCTTTAGCTGATATAAATGAGTAACGATTAACTTCATTCTTCTTCAGCAAATATACAATTCCTCAATAAATCTGAAAACAGCATTTTGTATTTAATCAGGTTATCTTTGTATTCTAGTAACGTGTGAGGAACAGCGGATTTTGGTCTCAGAGCCTTAGGTGCAGTTCGCCTCGGTTGTTATCTGAAAGCTTTAGACGTTGATGTGATCCGACGGTCTAGCATGAAGAAGCATCAAAGCTAAGCTTGATTGGGAAACATAAAAACCCATTCAACACTCACAACAATATTAGGAAGTAATATTAACCTGTGGTTGGTCTGTGCTTTCATTCTACGTTCAAAATTTAAAGGGGAATCTGAATAATCCTTGTCATTTTTCGCGAATTTAGAAGTTGTATAGACTTCTTCTGTAGGTCAGAATATTACTTGTGTCTCTTGTCTGTATTTGTGTGTATGTGTGTGTGTGTGTGTGTGTTTGTGTGTGAGCCCCACGTTTCCATGTTGTCCCCCTCCAGGATGGTCTGGACGGGCAGGTAGCCCATGCGTGGGTGTTTGGCAAAGTAGCGCTTGGTCCTGAATTTGTTCTTCAGCACCTTGGCAAAATCACGCACATCCTCCCCTGATGTGGTCTGCAGAGAGAGCAAAGAAGAGGGTCAGAAAAGACACTTTTTAATGGAAAAATCAAAACAAAATGTTAAATTTAAACAATGAGTTGGTGACTTATGTTTTTCAAAGCCATTTACATTTATATTACACAGCTGGTAAGAAGTCATGCTTCGTGCTTCCTTAAAGAGGAATCTAAAATCTCATCTTTTGGAGAATTTCCTCAGATGTGTCACTGCAGCCTACTTCATGTTGTCAGACTGGTCCTATTTAACAACAGATGGTAAAATTTGACCAAAAATATATTTTCACTGGAGTTATTTCATCCTTTAACATGGAGGACAATCTTAAACACAGACTGGTTTAGATTTGTTTCCCCTTTAATCCATGAAATCCTTTGAAAACTGGATTCTCTTTCTCTGATATAAAATTCGCTTTGATGATCTGAAACGTAACTGATGAAAAAGTACAAAAAAAAAAATTAAATCAAGAAATTTTTAAGGTGGCAAATAAGTTTTTGTTGCAATCATGGANA